AGACATTTTGTGTGGCCTATTGGCTTCTTCTTCAACTCAGGTACTCCTTAATGGTACCCCTGGAGATTTCATCCAGCATAGAAGAGGACTTCGTCAAGGGGATCCCCTCTCGTCGATGCTCTTTATTCTAGTCATGGATGTATTAAATTGGATGGTTATAAGGGCTTCCGAGGCAGGTCTGCTACAACCCCTGTCTAGAAGACCAATTCAGCACAGAATTTCCCTCTACGTAGATGATGTGGCCCTCTTTCTCAGACCGGCTGCAGAGGACATCTCTTTGACACTAAGCATGCTCCAACTTTTTGGGGATGTTTCGGAGCTCAGGACCAACGTTCACAAGAGTAGTGTGATGCCAATCCAGTGCTCGGATGCTAATATGGTTGTGGTACAGAGTTTACTACCTTATGAAATCATTAATTTTCCATGCAAGTATTTGGGATTGCCCTTGTCTCTCAGGAAACTAACAAAGGAACAATTTCAGCCAATAATTGACAGAATCGTGGATCAATTACCGGGTTGGAAGGCAGACTTGATGACACGAGCTGGTTGGGTAGTGCAAGTGCAATATGTCTTAACAGCCACGCTGATCTATCTAGCCATGGCAATTGACTTACCTCCTTGGGCAATTAAGGCCATTGATAAAATCAGAAGAGGGTTCATGTGGAGAGGACGCAAGGAAGCAAAAGGTGGACATTGTCTCATTGCTTGGCCCTTGGAGGTCTAGGAATCTCTGATCTGAAATCTCTAGGTAGTGCACTAAGAGTAAGATGGCCATGGCTCAAGAAATCTGAACCTAATAAACCCTAGGCAAGTCTGCCACTTCAAGTAAGCAAGGATGTTGAATGCCTTCTTTCCCTAGACATTATTACTGAAATTGGTGATGGAGCGAATACCCTTTTTTGGAAGGATAAATGGTTGACTGGTAAGAGCATCCAGAATCTTGCACCCAATTTGTATGCTCTAGTACCAAAAAGAAGGTCAAGCAGACGCATTGTGATGGCTACTCTTGATGAAGAGAAATGGCTAGAAGATATTCAGGGAGAAATATCAGCGCAAGCATTAATGGAATATTTTGAATTATGAGATTTATTAGAAGGAATGGTATTATAGGAGGGGATCCCTGATAGGAATATTTGGAGGCTTTCAGCCTCAGGAGAATATACAGCTAAATCCGCCTATGATGCACTTTTTGAGGGAGCCCTCAGTTTTGCCCTATATGAGCGCATCTGCAAATCTTGGGTGCCCCCTAAATGTCGCTTCTTCATGTGACTGGTTGCTCACAATCGCTGTTGGACAACAGACAGGTTGGCTCGGCGAGGTCTTCCTCATCCGGACCGGTGCCTGGACCATCTGGAAGCATCGAAATGGCTGTCTTCAATGGAGCTACCCCTAGACTGTCTACGGCTTTGAACCTTGATTGGGAGGAAGCCCTTTTATGGTCTATAGCGGGTGCTAAGGGACTGTCCCTGCACACAGCTCGGGATGATGGTTAGAGGGTCTTTGGTCAGGACTTTCATCTCAGTCATAGGTGATTAGTTTCAGTCAGTAAGTGGGTGTGTGTGTTTGTGTGTGTGTTTGGGTCTCTATATGACTCCTTTCTCTACTACTAATACAATGATACGCAGTTCTCCTGCGTATTCGAGAAAAAAAAAACTAAGTGGTTGATACATCATTTGTGAACCCAAACAAACACAAATTAAAAAATGTTGAAATGAAGTTTTTGATCTCTTCGAGTACTACAACTTTGATTTAGGTCATTTCTGCATCCAATGTCATTTGAAAATTCATAAAAAAAATATTAATTTTGAAATCATTAAACTTTCAATAGAATTTGCAGGCCTTAAATGATTTGAAATGAAAATGTAGTTAACTACTTTTTGAGTAATATAACTTTGGTTTACGTCATTTCTCAATCTAATGATGACATTTAAAAAATTCAAAATTAATGATTCCAAATTATTTGTACTAGTGATGGGTTAAGAATACTGTCTATGTAAATACATCTCTACTGCAGGTTCAGGTATCCATGTTCCATATTTTTCATGACATTGTTTTTCCCCTGTTAACAGTGCATGATACTAAAATAATGTTCAACTTATAGCTGATATGAAGTAGTGGTGAATTTAAGACCTACAAGTCAAAGTCAGAATTAATTCGATCTTCTAGCTAGGGGTCTAAAGAGCATTCAGATTCCTGGTGCTACCACTGTTTACTGAACATAATTTTTATTAGCATGTGCTAACTTATACATGTAGCAACGTTTAGTCAAAATAATTAATAAAAGGAAGTTTATAAAGTATCAGTGTTAGTCGTCACAAATCTCTTTTTTTACAAAACAGTGTATACATATATGCACATTGACCCACTATGAGCCCATGCACACATTCAACCCATATGGACAGCTCCGATCCTAAAGACTGAGCAAGTATATCTCGAGATAAGTGAAGTCACCACATGCACCTCGCTGTCCATGGACACATCATCGACCACTAAAAGAATACCAGTTAAATTTGGAAATAAATCTAGTATAATGCTAGCAGCCACCTAAGTTGAGGATTTAATTTGGATGGTTCACAAGAAAGCAGCTGAGCTATGCTCGGTTCGCAACTCTTGGTGGAGAATTGAAGTTTTTTTAGTTCCTATAAGTAAATTGGTAACATCAATTTTGTACTCGAATCCCCACAATATTATGAACCATGTAAAAAATAAAAGAAGGCACCCCATATCCCTGATTATACAACGTAAATTTGTTGACTGGGTGTACTCTGCTGTCAGAAGTTGGTTGGTTGTATTCACAAGCTAATAAGCATGGGCTTGTGCTGGTAGAGGGCCAAACAATACAAAGCTTCATCCTTACTGGGCTGGGCTGAATTTTCTGTGAAGTATAATGGGCTACATACATTAATACCACATGTATGGTATTCTTTGGAAAGACTAAAATCTGGACCAACCCACATGAACTGGCCCAGTTTCAGGTTAGAACTGAATTTCTAAATATGTACCGGCTAATATTTCTTGCTTGCATAGGTTCGTTCTTTTAGGCGTCGTCTGGTTTTGTGATTAATGATTACTGCTGCTTCCTTCATCAATTTACTGGCATGGTCATTCACTCATTCTTGGATGTTGTTTTGTCATTGTGGTTATCTGCTTTCGAGTATAAATTTCCTGTTTTTTTTCTGCTGAAAGAATCCTATTAATGAATGAATAGCTTTTAAAATTTTGACCAGAGAAACATGACACATGTGTATAGCTATCATGATTTACCACTGACTACAAAAATAACCGAGCCTTAGTTCTTACATTGGGGTAAATTTAGGGCGTGTTTAGTTCCAGAAAGTTGGAATTTGGGGCTACTGTAGCACGTTCGTTTTTATTTGGCAATTAGTATTCAAACATGGACTAATTAGGCTCAAAGCGTTCGTCTCGCAATTTCCCACCAAACTGTGCAATTAGTTTTTTTCGTCTATATTTAATGCTCCATGCACATACCGCAAACATTCGATGTGACAGGTATTGTAGCACTTTTTGGGATTTTGGGGTGGAATTGAACATGCGCTTATAGAGAGGTGCTCAATGAACCTCATGCCAGGTTATAATAATGCATTAATGCACTGGTGCTGCATGACATGGGTACTCGCTACTTTCTAGTTGCAATGTGAATAAAGTATTCAAGAAGGGCTACCACAATGGAGCTATAAAAATGAAGAGCAATTGTGCATGGAAAATAAAAGAGACAACAGACACACATGCAAGAGTGGTAGGTTCTTAGGTCGTCCTATGTCTCGAGCAAACGCTAGTCAAGCATAAATGTAGGCTTAAGAGGCATTGGGAATATAGACACCTCTCCCCTTGTGTGTGTTCCATTCCATTGTGCTCATGTCCACGGCACAATCCGGTAGCAGCACAGTGTCTACTCAATTGCAGCGGCCGATCCCTTCACTACTAGAAAAAACAGCTTGGGGATATCATATCCCTGATGGTCCAGTAGTGCTTCTACTAGAAAATAGAACTGGTGTTGCCTCGCACGCGGAATCCACTACAGCAACCAACTAGCACGACCAAGCGAATGGAGTAATGGACTCAGCAGTGCTTGGGCTTGGTCTAACGGTCTGAGACGGCTCAAGGGTACCTGTTGTCATTTTGGAATTTTTCTCTCTCCTCTCAGGTTAGAAAAACATATAAAAAAAATTTTAGATTATCACAAATTATGTGTATGGCTAGAAAAAAGAACAAAGAAGATGCAAAAAGGACAAAGAAAATGCGCAAATATATGTAATTTTAATAAGTTGTGAATACCAAACATAAATTACTTAGAGCATCTCCCGGAGTTTTGTAAATCAATTTCCTATTTCTATTAGCAAAAAAGGAATAAAATGTCACCTCCAACAGTTTGGTAAAAGAGCTCATTAAAAATAAAATGTTGCCAAATATCCTCTTCAACTCATAAGTCTCCATAGTCGAGAGGAACTCCGTATCTGCTCCTCATCCGGTGTTTTACTCAGGAGATCGGAGTAAATTGGACGCATGAGTAAATTAAGAAAATAAAAGGTTCCATGTGAGAAAATGGTAAGAGACAAAGAAACAATTAAAAGATGTTTGGTTGGTTAGCAATAGTCCAGGGTTCCAAATGCAAAATTGTTTAGGAAGCTAATATATAAAACTATTGGAGAGAGAATTAAATTGAGGTTGCTACTTATTTTATTAACTCGCTAAATTGATTGGTTTAACAAGTTAATTATAGAAAACATATGGAGTTGCTCTTAGGTGTCTTAGCTAATGCATGGTTTGATGGACTAGACCAATAGAAATCATCTACGCTACGAATACCACATGCTGCCACAAATTACCTCTTTTTTCCTCTTTTTTGGTCTTGTGAAACACCTATGTGATGTACAGTTGTGCATGTAACACAAACACGAGCTCTGTTTCCCTCTGAACTCTGAACTCTACAACCCCAAATCCCCAAATCATACATACAGCACGAACTCGTCACGGCATCATCACGCCATCTTCAGGCTGAGGCACTGGTACATCCACGGACCCTGCGCGATCTCGTCCATCCTCCTGCTAACCTCGCCGTGAAATCTCACCGGCGACGCTGCGTTGACCTCCCTGAACTGCGCCAGCTCGGAGTCCGTCGACGTGGACGACACCGCGGTCGCACCGGAGCCGGAGTTGGACGACGCCTTGAGCCGCTTCCCCTGTCGCCTCTCAGCATCGCAGCTGCTGCTGCTGCTTGGTCCCGTTGCCAGTGTCAGCTCAAGGTTGCATTCCTCGGCGAGTGCAGGGGCCGGCGTCGGCGTTGTGGCCTTGTTGCAGCTGGTGAAGCTGATGATCTGCTGCTGAGGAGTTGTTGTCACCTTCTCGACGCACCAGATGTCCAGTTGCTGTGGCCTTGGCTTGACGTCTACGACGACCGGAGCCGGAGCACGGCTCGCCGGAGCAGCAGTCTGTGCCTGCTGCATCAGCTGCTTCTGGACATGGTACAGCCGGTGCAGCTCGTGTACCTGATTGATTGATTCAGTAGGAACGCAGAGAGTGGTGAGAAATTGTGGTGACCTCGTCGAGTTGAGATGTAGAGACAGATCAGCGCATTTTGCAATATACAAATTAACCGCAGATAAAATGTGCCATCAGTCAGTACCTGTTGTCTGAAGATCTGTTCTTGGTTCAGGATGGCCATCCTCATCTGCTCCCTGTCCATGATCTGTTTCATGAGAATTTGAGCATCAGTTACTCGGTGCTGCAAATGGGAACTGTGATCCGGCCGTTGGAATTTCAGAATTTTCAGAGAATTGTTCCAAGAAAACAAGAACAAGAAAATACCCGTGAAACACTACGGACCCTGAAATAAAACAGAGGACAAGAACAGAGAAGCAGTTTCTATGCTCACCTCTTTTCAGGATCTGCGGCCGACACTCCCGGTGGGGTCAGAAAGCGCAATCTCTCTCTCTCTCTAACTTAACTCTGGTTGCAAGAACAAGAGCAGAGAAGCAGAGATGGCCAAGAAGCTCTGGTCACTGCTGGGAGGCAAGCCAGCCGGCATGGCTTGTTATATCTAGGTAGCGAGGCAGGGGAGGAGGGAGGAGATTTGAGATATAAGATTCCCCAACCCTGTTGTCATGATCATGCTTCTGAGCCCATGTGTGGGGTCCTCTGCAGCTGCAAGCATGCCAAACAAATCCAAGCTCCTCCGGCCAATCACCTCGTGTATCTTAGTGTGCCAAAGATGCTTAAAGGATAGGCCTAACATAATATTTCTAATCTCCGTCCAACCTCAAAAGCCTATGCGTCCCCCTAACATTTCTGCTTCAATCACGCTTGCCAGATTTTTCTTTCATAGGTTGACCTTGTATATATTCTCGCCTTGATTTTTGTACTAATAATGAATAGATGGTGGCATCTTCATGAAATTTGAAAGTTTTCAGATAGTTCTAGCAATTTTGTTTTGGGAACTGTATATATTATATGTACTTTTGTGCAGTGCTGGTTTATCCATGATTGTTAGACTTTTGGTGTACTAGCCTGGGGACGCGTAACCAATCCTAGTTTTCAATTGCTGAATGTTTTGTGAATCGATCACTACTCCGGAGGAATCATTGAGGAGACAACAAGACAGGTACAGGTTAGATCTCTCGTATTCACATGGGAAGAGGATTAGTACTGTCATTACCAGTTGTCTAATCCCTTATATATATTGTGTATAATATCAGCTTAAGTCAAACATATCTGCTTCGCATGAAAAACAAAGCTACCGAACGATTGAGACAGCTCCTACAAACATTAGTTTAGCAGCAGTCGTGCTTCTGCCAGGATAAGTTTATCTTTTTTAAAAGATAATCAACTAATCATGGTGAACTTCGTTCGAGTTGAACCATTAAACCAACCATGGCTAAAAAAACTTCCGGTTATTACTTTTTTTTAGATAAGGAATGCCGCGGCGCTGATAAATTTGAAGACGGTGCAAAAAATAAGGAAAATCTTTGTTAGCATATTAGCATTTGAAAATTTCATAATTATAGACATGTAACTATATAACCTTTGTGAACTCCAAGCTTAACTTATATCGCCAACAAAAAATTATCTACTTTTACATACTAGCATTGTGTACTCTGTGTGGAGGGTTCTTTTTCCATGGCAATTTGGTATCGTTATGGTCTTAATTTTCTTATATCAGTCATACATCAGAGCAGGCCACCTAGCCAGGTTTTTTTGTCTCTAAATACAGGATCCAACCGTTGAAAGTTAAGCAGATTGGAGCCAAAGTATAAACTATGCCATGATTGGTGCATATACAATGAGAGATTCGCGAATGCGATTGGGTTGTCTTGAGTGATGATGTGATCGATGTAGTAGAGTAGTTGCTGGTATGTTTTGATCCTCCTGGCTTTTCTCAAGTTTATGAGGTAAGCAAATTAATATGTTAAAGTATCCCATTGATCTGGATGAGCAATGATATGAAATAGGCACTACTGTGCATGATTAGCTTGAAACCATGCTGCATGTCGTCAGCCACATCGCTGTCTGTAAATCTCATTGATTAATGAGCTGATTTTTCCATTCATATCATTCGCAGATGTTTGGAAGAAAGGCTGTTCTTATTTAGATTGGATTAGAGAAAGATTTGGTTTAGATGTTTGGATGCATCCATAGGTTCTTTCATAGCCACAAGTTGATGCCTGCCCTATGCTATATGAGTGGCGGGTTTTTTTTAGAGAAATTATTAAATTGTCCTGATCTAGTAGAGGATCCAGGAACTGATCAACTTGGAGAATATATAACTGTACCTGGTCAATATTTGTAAGTCAAATTCAAATACATGTGGTCTTGGTTGTTCTAGAATGCTTATGATATTTTTCTTAACAACAACTTTCTCCACTATTTCACACTCTTTGTGTCTGGTGGCTGTGCTGAGAATAGACATTAATCAAAGGTATGCATGCGACTGGAGTTAATTCCTAAAACCCTTATAAATTTGGAATAAATTTTGAATTCTTTCATGTCTTATATTTTAGGATGGAGAAAGTATTGTACATCATATTGAATTATGTGGCACATTTACTGTGAAAGTAACAATTTTGGATCACTCTTTGTCGGGCGATTTGACCCTTTGTAGCAGCTTGGAAATTATGGCATCGTTTAATGAACTTTGAACCACATGAAAGGACACCATGTGCAATCTCTTCGATCAATCCTATTTCCTAACCAACGTGACATCATGAAGTACTGTGTCAAAGATTTGATATGGTTTGATGTTTTGCTAACACATAGGGTACTAAGCAAACCAAAGGTTGTATTAATTCACTGAAAGTGATGGACTGTATACGTGCATGATAAAATAAAATAGCAACATGTCACTTACAAGTTAAGATTCCCTATTAATGTTGACAGATTGCTTTCTTCATTTATTGTTTCGCTGACCGTAATAAAATTAATTCTAAGTGTTTTTCATTTCCATAAGTCTACAACACGTGATGCAAAACTCTCAAAGATAGTTTCTAGAACTCCTGAAAGAAATTCCAGACACTTGAGACTTGACACACGCAACATGTTTTAGTAAATATCCATTGGGAACGAACTTGGTTAGGTTGCATGAGCAGCCCAACACTTGGTAGCACGAAACAACATACAAAGTCATTAACCTAGCACTACCGGAGACCGGCTCTTTGCCGAGTGCCAAGTGGATTGCTGAGTGTTTTGTTTCGGGCACTCGCCAAAGAGCTTCTTTACCGAGTGCGGAAAAGAAAACACTAGGCAAAAAAAAAACACTCGGCAAAGAGCTTCTTTGCCGAGTGTTTTTTTACACTCGGGTGTTTTTTTTACACTCGGCAAAGAAACTTCTTTGCCGAGTGTTTTTTTTTACACTGGGCAAAGAAAATTTCAAAGTACATTTTGAAGCAGTAAATTAATTCAAATGAAAAAGTTTTCAAATACAAAGTTCTATAACTCATCAAGATGTTTGTTTTGGTCTTTTCTTCATATAACAAAGTGAAAGTAAATTTGTTCACAAATCTAACATATCTCTCTTGTAGTTTATGAAACTACAAGAGAGATATATAAGATTTGTGAACAATGTTAGAACGACCATGTCGGATGAACAGATGGTCAAACAACCAAAATAAACTTTGTAGATCTCGAAAAGTTATGAAATTTTGTGATTGGCAACTTTTTGATTTGAAATCATCTTGTCATGCAAAACTGCGTTTGAATTTCAAAATTTTAAAATTCAAACTTTTTAAACGACCTCGGATGGAAAAACAACCAAAATAAACTTTGTAGATCTCGAAAAGTTATGAAACATTGTAGTTGGCAACTTTTTTATTTGAAATCATCTTGTCATGCAAAACTGCGTTTGAATTTCAAAAATTTAAAATTCAAACTTTTCAAACGACCTCGGATGGAAAAACAACCAAAATAAACTTTGTAGATCTCGAAAAGTTATGAAACATTGTAGTTGGCAACTTTTTTTATTTGAAATCATCTTGTCATGCAAAACTGCATTTGAATTTTAAAATTTTGAAATTCAAATTTTGTAAACGACTTCGGATGGAAAAACTTCCTAAACTAAAAGTGTAGATCTCGAAAAGTTATGAAACTTTGTAGTTTACAACTTTTTTATTTGAATTTGTTTAGGGGCTCAAACAAGCAATTTACACTCGGTTTAGTATAATACGTGGGGAACCAAAACGGAATCTAGACATAGGTGGTAGTGTGGTGCGATTGGTCGAGGAGGGACGCCAGGAGAGAGAGGTCACGGTTTGAATCCCGCTTGACCTCGTAACCCATGAATTTTACGTGAAAAATGTCGGAGATGGGCTGGCGCTGGTCAGTGGGGGCCTCCACCGATTAAAAAAAATTCCTATTTTTTTCGGGTTTTTTTTTTATTTTTTCGGGGTTTTTTTTCCAACTTTGCTGAGTGTCGGGCACTCGGCAAAGGCTTTGCCGAGTGCCCGACAAAAGACACTCGGTAAAGACGCATTTGCCGGCCCATTTTTTGCCGAGTGACCTTTGTCGAGTGCAGCACTCGGCAAAGCCTTTGCCAAGTGCAAATTGGGCTTTGCCGAGTGTGCCCCTGGCACTCGGCAAAGCCACTGAGTCCGGTAGTGACTACATTCCCATCAAAAGGAAAAAAAAGGATAGCTTGATTTGTGAAATAATAATGGGCCTAATTAAATTTACTCTACATTCAAAAGAAAAACAGGTAGAAGAGCGATGTACTAACTCTGCTTGTTCCATTGCTAATACATACTCCCTCCGTCCCATTAAGTTTGTCATTTGAAAACCGTGCCCCCCTCACAATCCCGCTTCCCGAGCGACAAACTCAATGGGACGGAGGGAGTATGATTATTGTTCCTTTGCCATCATCATCTCTCAGCACAAACATTTTTTTTTTTGAGGAGAATCTCTCAGCACACACATGACGAAGCTAGGTTACCATTTTAAAGTCTTCAGCCCATCCTGATTTGACGCAAAGCACAAATTTAACATTATGTACATCGAATCTACCAACTCCGCTAGCTAGCACAACTACTACTGCTATGTGATAGCACATGCTTGGATGATCCTGATACATACATCCATGTGTTCAAATCTCTTAACTTATTATATCTCCTTGTGCCGTGGTCAGCTCTCCGATCCATGTACAAATATTGATTGCATATATCATTATATAGAGGAAGCTCAAACGTGCCCTCAAAGCAAAGTCTAGTGTGTTTGTGTGTGTACCTAGGGATGAAAACGAATCGGATATCACTGAAATCACATTTGTTTTTATATTTCTGTCCGGATTCGGATTCGAATACGGATAGTCTCAACCATGCCGGATAGGATACGATTAGATATCGACATCATAAATATGTGATTTGAGTATTCGGATACGGATATGGTGTTGGATATTGAATATCTGTACTCGGATACGAACAGATCTGAACACCTCTAAACAGATTCGGTCTCGAATACGGTTGGAAAATATCCGTATCGTTTTCACCCCTATGTGTACCTGATGTTTATCTGTACAATGTTTGGCAAAGTATGGACTGATAACCCTCAAGTGGGCCATAAAACTGGTGAGATAGATATGTTTGATATATGCAATCAAGTCTATCTGCGCTAGTGCAAGATGGCAGTTATTGGATTATATACAGTGTAGCTTAAATGCCATTCTTTAATCGT